AAATAAAAACAGTTAATTGCCAAACAGTTTTGTTATCAAATGAATTAATTTCTTACATAAACAAAATTTAAAAATGTGTGTCAACTTAAAAACAAAGTAACAAAGTTACTTAAAGACAAAGTTATTAAGTACATGAAACTTAAAATGCCTTTTAAATAATGTGGGGAAACTATTTGAAACAACTTAATTTTATGAGTAATCAACTTAAAAACTGTTTATGCTACCAATTATTAAATAGGTAATAATTAAAAAAAATACCTTTCATTGTAGAGGAAAAGCTAATTCACCTTACTTAATATAGTTCATTGGTTGAACATAATTTCATTCTATGTTGTCACAACTCAAAATGATAGATGGAAACTGTTGCGTTAATTTTCTTTGTTGAGCCAAGAAATTTGTTTTTAGAGTGCAGATAATATGTTAAAATTCCACAATCTAGGAATAAACTTACTTTATTCATTTCTTACATTGTGTTGATAGGATCAAAATGGGGGCTCCCTGATAGCTCACCTTGTAGAGCTGGTGCCCCATGTACCAAAGCTGAGTCCTTGCTGCAGTGGCCATGATTTCAAATCCAACCTTTGGCCCTTTGCTGTGTGTCATCCCCTTTCTTTCTCTCCCTTTCCTGTCGCTCTCCAGCTGTCCCTATCTAATAAGGGCCAAAAGCCACAAGCTATATATGTTTATATATGTAAAATATATGTAAAACTGTAATAACTGATGTGTTTATTAAACAAGGTGTTGTTTTCTTGTTGCATTTTAATCTCTAAATGCCCCAAAAGGCTTCATTTATGTATTATAATCACTAGAATTTTTTTCACCCACCTAATTTAAAAAAAAATCTTGTTACCATTTTCACTTTTACAGGACTAAATGAACCCTACAATCACGAAGATCACTATTATCAAGTTTCCACTGTGAAGGAGGAAAAGTTATTTTCTTTCAGCGTGCAGACACACATCTAAAGCCTCAGTGCTCAGCAACAAAGGCTGAGACAGGTGTGTGGTCATGAGGGGCACTATAAAAAGGCACCAGAGTAAAACCCTAGTAAATGCCACACCAAGATAATAGGACTCCCCTCACCCAATCTCACAGAACTAAACAACAGGACCATCTCACGCATTGCAACCACAACAGAACTGGACATTACACACCCACTCAACCAGTATCTCACCCTACTGCCTTCTGGGCGGAGGTACCGAACATTGAGGTGCGAGAAAATTCGCTACGCCTGATCCCTGCAGCTATTGCTGCTCTAAACAAAGGGGCGCGTGTGTAATCTGTCATGTATTATTTATTTGATTGTTTGTTTGTTTTTCTTTGTGGATTTGTTAATTGTGGATGGCGTGTTTCTTTGTTCAGTGTATGGTGTTGGTATGGTGAAGTGATGTGGACATGAATTTCCCCCTTGGAGGACAATAAACTGAATTGATTGATTGATTGATTGATTGAAATGCCACACCGTTTGATGGATTAATGTGGCACTTGACATATGCCAGATATGCATCTTCTCATAGTAAGTAAGTTGTGACCATTTTTTTATTTCCATTTTTCCATTTAATAATGTGTGTATTGATTAATGGCACTGGCTGCTCAGGCTTATTAGCTTGTTGTACTCAGGTTCTTTATGCTGTAAAAGGTTGCCCTTTGTGCCTGATTTTGAATATTGGTGTTATTAATGACTCCTGATGAAACAGTTTGGAGACAAGAGAGACCATAGTCCATCAAACGGAAACTAACTCATTCATACAGCGATGGCACAGCATCAGGAGCAATTTGGGGTTTGGTATCCAGATTTTGTAGTGTGTGACCCCTGTTGCTGATCAGTCACGTAGTGTGAAAACTACAACTTCAAGATCCCCGATTACAAGACTGATAGTTACATAGTGTAAACTGTACATAGATCTCACAACTTGGAAAGTCATGTAGTGTGTTCAAGGCTTAAAATAGTGATTGCCATTGGTTGAGAATCAACAACTGTGTCTCCGACAGAATGTGGAAAAACAAAGTTTAATGCAAAATGGACAAAGTTAAGCAAGAAGTTAAACCAACAGAGAAACACTGTTCTTTTCTCCTGTTGTGAGTTGCAAATTAGTACATGGAAAAATAAGATTTAGGTTCTTGCCTTTTGTTGGTTCTGAATTTGTTAACAGAAAACAAAATAGACAATAACGGGTGTTTTTATTTTTATCAATTATTGGTATATGGTCATTATTTTTCCGTCAGCTGCCTGGACAATTAATCAACCAATTGTTTCAGAACAACTCTCAGGAGGACAAATCAATGTAGATGTCAGTCCTTGGGTTGTTGAGCCCAGGAGGAAACTGCACTCTGCTGTCCATGTACCTAAGAAAAAGTAATTAAAGAAACAGCTGTGGGCTCCAGTTTCCTCCTGGGCTCAACTAGGGACTGATATCAATGCTGTTGAGCATTATGCTTTCAACTAATCCTATATATTCCCAAACATTCCCTAATTAATAGCTCAAGAGGATACAATTCATCTGCAGTGGCTTTTTCTAAATAAATATACTGTATATATCCATGTCTGGTAAATGCCCATATCTTTCAACCTACACACATCCAGTTTTTAACACAGGCTTTCTAATCTGTTGTAACCTTGATTATGTCACTGTGACTTCACAAGGGTTACTTCACTTCTCCACCATAGCCACAAAGGTATTACACAACAGTTTTCATAAGCTGAGTACTCATGACAACATGGGTTTTACCACCATAAATTACAATTACGAGGTCAATGCTGATTGAGCTATTAAATGAACCATCCGCAGTTAGTTTTTGGTATCATCTCAAACAGAAATATCACCAGAAGCCGCACAAAAAAAATCAGCACTGGTCTTCAGTAAACCACACAGACATGTCTGAATATATTTATCAGCTTGATTTTGTTAGCTGTGAATGCTAAGACAGTCATTTTAATATTGTGAGACATTTGTTTTGGTAAGACAATAAGTGGCCAGGCCTGTTCTTTTACTTTTTACTTTTATTAGCATTTGGGAGGTCTGTATAAAGACGAGGAGAAAGATAATTAATGTTTTTAGCTCTTTAGCTCACACTATTGTTGGAAAAAAGCCCACTGACAATATTTTCACCCCTGTTTGTTTGAAAGTGTGTGAGGGACAGAGAAAGGTGACATCACCAAAATAGATTCTCTATACTGGAGGGGGGGGTTTAAAAAATAGCATTTACACACACACACACACATACAGCTGCCCCCTATCCCTTACAGCACCTCCAGGCTAATCCTGTCACTATGGAAACCATACATTGCAAAACATAAACAGCAGCCTTCGACCTGACAGGTGTGACACAACTATCAACTGTCTCCAGGCATTGTTGCACATTTATAAGCAAACACAAAATGAGGGTATGACAGTGTGTCTGCTGCAGCAAGGTAGAGGTGGACCCGGAAGCGCTCATGAGAGACATAGTGGTGGTCAACCGATATGGGTTTTTCAATGGCTGCTGATATCAAAACAAGATAGTCGGGGTACAGCATGTCAGAAATGATGTCA